GTTTGGATATGTGTTTGTCTTTCCTGCTCACAGTGCCACTGCCATTACCCACATCTGACAGCTTTCAGAATGCTGGCACCAATGATAATGGTGTCCCACATAACACTGTTCCTACCAAAGGATACTTGCTATAACAAAGGAGGTGCAACGGTGAGCTTGAAATTACTGCATGCCCCACCACCTCAAAGCCACCAATCTTATACAGTAGTGGAACATTATTAACTGTGAAAGGCTCAGCTAAGGCCCCACTTTAGGGGAACAAAACCTGAGGATTGGAGTACTAGACTCCAGGATGAAGTTTGTATGCTAAACCAACAGCTGATAGAGGTGTTGCACCCACCATAGGTAGAATACACAGCTATGGGAAAAAGAGGGAGCCCTTATGATAATCAACCATGATGACCACTAGTGGGGCTTTTTTTCCCCTCCCACCTTAGACCCTGCCAATTAGATTCCTAGTTCTTGAGGCATGAGTAGGGGCAGTTCTGTCAGAAACCCATAAAGAGTCTGGAAGCCATGTTTGGTTCGCATGTGGTCTGGTTGTCATGCATTTCTTACTACAGTGGACCAGCAAAGATGGCAAGGGATAGTGTAGTTATCATTGTGAGGAAATAGGGCTGCTGCTTCATGATCTTAGTGAAGAGAAATATGCCTGGCACTTAGATGCACTCCATGGTGAGAGGTGAATGGGAAATTACAGCAGCTAAGATTCCTTAAAAGCAAGGAAACTAAAGGCCTAATCACTTGGGATTAGTGTCTGGATCACCTCACAAGGCAGTGACCCAGACTAGCTGAAGTGCCAGTGGAATGTGAAGAAAATCAAGAATGAGCAGTAGAGACTGGCAATGAATGTCAACTAAGGCCCCAAGGATCGCTGGAATATTGCATACTGTAGCTTGGCTCATTATCTCATTTTGGGAAATTGCATCTGGCCTTCACTTCGAAGGGTTATATTTGAACTTCCCTGTTAGGGAAGATAGGAGGGATGATGTTTTATATTGCCACATGGATACCAGGAAGTGATGAAAGTGCAAGTTCTATAAGGGGTTGCCTGTCCTGGGCCCAGATGATGTACTCTTCTATACTGAGCCAATCTTCACCTCTCCTCGAGTTTTGACTGCCCACTGGAGGGCTCCAGATCCTGCCACCATTGTCACTTTATTTCCTAACACTACCAGCTATATCAGCCTCCCTCAGGGTGAAGACCAGGTGTTAGTATCCCCGCAATAGCATCTAGATCCAGAATGGTTCTGGTACCTTGACTAGATCTAGGACAGTTCTATCTGCATTGGGATATTGCTTCCCCAGTGGCCACCCAGAAGAGACAAGCAGAAGTACAAAGAAGTTAATGTCTCATAGGATGAATCTTTATCAATGAAATACTATAGAAGGTATTAATGTTGGCATATAAATGTTGCTTCTTCCATCTAACAAACTTTTCCAAGATGCTTTGGTTCCATATGACTTATGTAGAGCTGTTTCACATGACCAAGTAACCAGCCATGTTTTCTTGTGAAGTTCTGCCCAGCTCAGTAACCTCCCACCTTACATCTGCTTTCTGTTTCTCCTACAGAACTTCACTTCTTACCTCCCTCTTGCTGACCTGGCATTGACTGATCTCAGTCTCTGACAAAGCAAGGTTCTTTACCTCCAAAGTTCTGTTCACTGAATGTAGTATAAACAACCCTCACCTTCCCAATTGAAAAGTTTCCTGTTTAAGTACACCCTTCTCTCTTTATCTGATGTATTGATATTATCAATTTCTTTCATTTTTCTTAAACATACAACTACTCTCTTACTTCGTCCCATTTTATTTTCTAACTGTCTTATTACTTTGCTGTGGTTTATTATACCTTTATTTTATAGTTCCTCTGTATTTGAGAGTTTTTTTCAATGCATAGAAGCTTTATTTGTTTTTGTTTTTTCCTTTCAGAATGTGTAGCTGTTCAGTGCCATCTTTCAGAAGAAATAAGCAGTGAATGTCAGGTTTCATCTACAGATTTCTGTATATCATTTTTTAAATGTTTTTTATTTATTTCTGAGAGAGAGACAGCATGAGCAGGGGAGGGTCAGAGAGAGAAGGAGTCACAGAATCTGAAACAGGCTCCGGGCTCTGAGCTAGCTGTCAGCACAGAGCCCGATGTGGGGCTTGAACCCACGAACCGTGAGATCATGACCTGAGCCGAAGTCCGCCGCTTAACTGACTAAACCACTCAGGTGCCCCTCTGTATATCATTTTTGACATATTGGAAGAGTGTAATAAATTTTAAACATCAGATTATGGACTCCTTTAACTTATCTCAAGTCACTCCCTAAGAATGCTTAATTTTTCTGACCATGGTTTGCCAGGCTTCTCTTAGGGAAGGAAATGTATCCCATTCTGTATCCTACAATGTAGTCAGCAGCTTCCTTACCACCCTTCCTTCCCTCCTTCATTTACTTTCTATTCATTATTCTTTCTGAAATGGATTCAGGGATAACATGAATCATAAAACCATCATGCATCTATTAGTATTAAATGGGAATACTTAGCTAGCATTTTCATTATAACCATGTATTGAAAATAAAGTTGATATATCATACTTGCTCTTGATCTCACATCTGACCTAATTGTCCAGATTCTTCTAGACTTAGATATCTCAAGCTTTTGAAATTATTTGTTTGTGTTGGTTACTGTTTTGTCCTGAATTTGAATTTGTCCAGTCGTTCGAGTGCACACAGAGAACTTGACTACCCAGTTCTTCGGTCTCCCCCCTCAACTTTGGTCATGAACTTCCTTTACTCTCATTGTCTATTAATTGATCGCTTCCTCTCCCATGAATGTTGTGTGATGAAAGCTAATCTATGGAAAAGTTAAGAATGAGATTAATGTTGGCCAGAGTTGTGAAGACTCAGATACAAGATGCAGCACTACTATACTGCATCGCCATTGCAACAAGACAAAGGCAGCTTCACACATTTGAAAGCAAGTCAAATTTCTACACACCATCCATTATTCTTGCATTTAATAGGATGTTAGAGATTCTACATCTTCTGAATTTATTAGCTTGGTATTTAGCATGTTTCACAGCCAAAATAGCAAAGAAGGTTCATTATTGCTGGTTAAATTAGCCTCATGAAAATGTTGTTGGTAAAAGGTTACAGAAATGAGTAAGAGATCTAACCAAGCAGCATATTAGACTATTTATCATTATAATTTAAAAAGGCATTCTGATGATTTGAATTAACTTGGCTAAAGGCTAGAGAATTAGATAAAAGGTAATAATTAAAACCTAAATGGCAGGATTAGCTGTTTCTTTTGATAAGGAAAAGACAAAATGTACATACCACATTTACTGAAATTGTCCTCTTGAGAGAAACTGAGGCCAATAAATCACACCTGATTATACCATTTATGGGCTTTTAAAATATTTTACAACTATATTATATATAAACTGGGTTGCTTGAATGTCTTCTGTTTCTTTGAGACCTAGTCAGATAGCTCTTCCCACATTATTTTCTTTTTCCACATTATTTTCTTTTGAATGGCTGAAGCCTAGAATTTAGCTGTTTTTCTATTGAGGTTTTAGTGTTTGTTTTTTAACTGAATGTCATATATACATGTATATATATAGTTAAGTTTTTGTCATCTTTGTGAAGTTTATCAGTGAAAACATTTATTTAACATATTTTTTTACCTCTTTGACATATAAAACTTTAAGGTTTGGGTGACCTAAATTATTCACATCTTCCGTTGTGTTAAAACTATTTATTTTATTTTAATTCCAATATAGTTAGCATACAGTGTTATTTAATTTTGGATGTACAATATAATGGTTCAACAATTCCATATATTACTCAGTGCTCATCAAGACAAGTGTGCTCTTAATCCCCTTTGCCTATTTCACCCATCCCCCCACCAACCTCCTCTCTAATAACCATCTGTTTTTTCTCCATAGTTAAGAGTCTGTTTATTGGTTTGTCTCTTTTTTTTCCCCTTTATGTGTGTTTTATTTCTTAAATTACACGTATGAGTGAAATTGTATGGTATTTGTCTTTATCTGACTATTTCTCTTATCATTTTACTCTCTAGATCTGTCCATGTCATTGGAAATGGCAAGATTCCATTCTTTTTTATGACTAATATTCTATTGTAAACATCTACTACTTCTTTATCCATTTATCAATTGATGGAAATTTGGGTTGCTTCTATAATTTGGCTATTGTAAATAATGCTACTATAAACATAGGGGTGCATATATCCTTTCAAATTAGTATTTTTGTATTCTTTGGATACACACCCAGTAGTGCAACTACTGGATCATAGGGTAGTTCTATTTTTTTACTTTTTAGAGATGTCTATACTATTTTCCACAGTGGTTTCACCAGTTTGCATTCCTCCCTCCCAAAATTCAAGAGGGTCCCTTTATCTCCACATCCTCATCAACCTTGTTTCTTGAGTTTTTGATTTTAGCCATTCTGACAGGTGTGAGGTGATAGCTCAATGTGGTTTTGATTTGCATTTCCCTGATGATGAGTGATATTGAGCATCTTTTTATGTGTCTGTTGCCTGTCTGTATGTCTTCTTTGCAAAAATGTCTATTCATGTCTTTTTTTTCCAATTTTTTTTAATTGGATTATTTGGGGTTTTGGTGTTGAGTTGTATAAACTCTTTATATATTTAGGATACCAACCCTTTATTAGAAATGTCATTTGCAAATATCTTTTCAGTATATTGCCTTTTAGTTTTGTTGGTTGTTTCCTTGGCTATAGGGAATTTTTTATTTTGATGTAATCCCAGTAGTTTATTTTTGCTTTTGTTTCTGTTGCCTCAGGAGACATATCTGGAAAGATATTGTTATGGTTAATGTACTAAAATATTTTTTTCTAATAAGTGCATAAAACTTTCCTGAAATGGATGATGAATGAATTTCTTCTCAATTTGGCAACCTTTATAGTGTTCCTTGTCTGTGGATGTAAGATCAAAATTATTATTTTCCCCTCTTTTCCATTCATAACAGAAACCAGGAGCTAAAGGAACTTGGTGAGCTTTCTCCACACTGGGACAATCTACGGAAAAATGTCCTTACTCACTGTGATCAAATGGTGAATATGTACCAAGATATTCTGACAGAACTTAGCAAGGAAACAGGTATGAAAGCAAAATCTTTTTACATATTCAAACTGAATTCCCTTTCGTACATGTTAGGTGAAAACAATAATAAACGTTGCTATGGATATAGAAGAGCAAAGATAAAATAGCTTTTATTTCTAACTCTACCATCTTGGCATGATAGACCAGCAAGAAGTAAATTGCACTACTTTATCTCATGGTATTATTATAAGAATAACTGAGAATTTTTAAATTGAATTTTTGTGAAGAAAAGCAGCTTGCCCAGGATATGTTTTACTTTCTGAAATCCTTGTAACTTTTTTCCATGTGAAGCATGATTTACAACATACATGCATATACACACTTATTATTTACTTATTAATGATGTTCAATTTTTTTTTTTCCACTTAGGGTCCTCTTTCAAATCAAGCAGCAGCAAAGGAGAGAAAACATTAGAATTTGTTCCAGTAAACCTACATTTGCAAAGAATGCATGTACACAGCCCTCACTTGAAAGGTAATATATAATACTCTCTTTTTTTATAGAGCAAATTATGTTAGTGTGTAGTTTTTTTCAAAAGCTTGACTATTGGCAGAATTTAAAATTTCAGAATTATATAAAGATGAAGGTGAAACAATTGAACTTGGTAATGACCCTGATTACTACAAATGGGGGTATAGAATTTTTTTTTTGCCATGTTTTTGAACAATACTTTAAAACTGTGGCACCTGAATTGAATTATAGGTGAGCAAACAGCATAAGTGACAGCGTAAGTGTTAGCTTCCTTTAAGTAGTACCAGTGATGGCTAATAACCGTGCTACTGTTTTCAATTAGAAATAAATAAAAATTAGAAACAAGACTTGTTCATTTTGTTCCCATCTTGAAAAATCAAAGCCCAAAGATAGACTCATAAGCTATTTTTCTGATTTAGTGGTGACTATCAACAGAATCACCGACTTCTCTATGAGCAGGGAATTTATCAGAAAGAAGGTTGTAGAGTATTTTACTCTATTCAGCTATGAGAAACATTTTTCAAGGAAAAGTGTGCAGATTTTTATAAACATACTTGAATGAGGTTTACAATGAATATTGGATTTCATTCATTGCCATTCTACATAATTCCTTGCTATTTCTTAGTAAAAAATATTTTGAAATATTCTTCTCATCTCCCATTTTCTTTAACTTATTGCTGTATCAAATTTTGTGCATAAATAGGGTGGCTATCTGCCTCTATTCACATACAGCAAAGTCCCATATTATGATAGTTGTCCAGCATTATTGTTAAAGAAGCTCTTCACCTCTCTTCCCTCTCAAAAGTCTCCCTGTTTCATGATAAATGCTGTAGTCATCCTACCAGTACCCATCTTCCTGGAGCCAAAAGTTACTTTAGATCCTCGAATCCTTCACAGTAAGTGTATCAACATGCAAACATACACAAGTATATCTAAAGATGCATGCTAACCGCCTATTTTGTAGTTATTGTCATAATATAGAGGTTCTAGGTTTTGAAAAGTCAAGATCTCTGTTCTACTTTAGAATCATCTGAAGTTTTACAAGCATAAAAATTAACATTTTTTCTGCAGTTGTACATACTGATTGTGGATATGCAACCAGCTAATGTGCAAGTTTAAGTGTAGTTATAATCATTATGATATGTAATGTTAATACCTCTAGTAACCTTTGTCAACTACCTGAAATTTTAACGTGGCTTCTTTTCACCAGAAATTATCTCAGTGAAGGAACTGAAATACAAATGAGATGGATTGGCCCAAAGCATTTAGAAACTTTCCCTTGGTTATTGAATATCTAGCAGTAGTTTGAACATAACATCCAATGGTTTTAAAAATCATAAAACCACAGTATCAATAAATAATAAAAAAGCCAAAATACTTAAAAGCTATATGAAAACCAATATAATTTTTTTATAATGACCAATATGAAATCACTCTAATGATATAATAAAGAGAGTTTTTTTTTTTTTTAACATTTTATCTTATTTTTTGAGAGACAGAGCATGAGAAGGAAAAGGGCAGAGAGTGGGAGACACAGAATCTGAAGGAGGCTCCAGGCTCTGAGCTGTCAGGACAGAGCCTGATGCAGGGCTCGAACCCACAATAGTGAGATCAGGACCTGAGCCGAAGTCAGGTGCTCAACCAACTGAACCATCCAGGTGCTCTTCTAATAATATAGTAAAAAGTTTATATGATTTGGAGTAAAGCAGAATTTCAGCTCTCCCATTTTTGATGCATGTTGTTAAGTCCATTATTTACTTCCTAAGCAAATTGTGCTCTTCTTATTTAAGTGAGTTACAGTATATAAAACACCTAGAATGAACAATGATGGCCATTATGAAATAGGTAGCATTTGTCCTCACTGGAACAAAATAGATCTTTCAGTTCTATCAGGACTGTTAAAAGGAGAAAAGTGATCAGTAAAGAGCCCATTAAGAGACAATGAAATCTTGAACTAAGAAGTAGCCAGATTTAGAGAAAAGATGAGTTAGAGAGGCATTTTGGGAAAATTATCATATGTAAGCACTTAATGACTAATAGAAGGAAGAAAGGAGAGAAGGACAACTTCAGTACACCCATGAACAGATAGCTGTATCATCAAACCACATGGCTTGTTGGGGCCCAACTGATATGGATCTATATTTAAATATGCATTCAAATATTTGGCAATGATCCTAACAAACTTCCACCAAACAAAGAAAAAATACTCTTGTAAGTGACCTTTTATTATACTTATTTCTTGAAAACAAAACAAAAATAGAACCATCCATGCTGTTCTTTCCAAGATGCTATCTGAAAAATGGACCAGAGTGAGCTAGAAGGCAAACAATGTATTCAGTTTCTGTTTCTGCCATTTGCAAGGAAGAGACTGGCAACTGAAGTAAATTTTGAAAGGGAAACATAATTTTTCCTAATTAGTTTGGTTTATGATATGTATCAGTTGCCTAGATCTGCTAGGAGTACCACAAACTGGATGGCTTAAAAAAACAAAAAAATTATTGTCTCACAGTCTGGAGGCCAGAAGTCTGAAATTAAAGTATTGGCTAAGCTAGCTCCCTCTGAAACCTACAGGGGTATTCTTCCTCACCTCCTCCTGGCTTCTGATGGCTTGGTGCAGTCTTTGATTTTCTTTGGTTTATCGATGCATCATACCAATCCTCTGTGTTCACAGTGTTCTCTTGCACATCTTTACATCATCTCCTCTGTGTCTGTGTCTGTGTCCAAACCTCCCTCATAAGGACACCACTCACGCTGTATTAGGATCAGTTCTAATGGCCTGATTAGAACTTCATTACATCTGTGAAGACCATATTTCCAAATAAGGTCATATTCTAAGATTTCTTTTTTGGGGAGTATAAATCAACCCATAGTAACAGGATATATACACACACACACACACACACACACATATATAAGGAATTTCTTATTTGTTATGATAAATATCAAGTAGTACAGAGAAAAAAAGATTTCGATGTTATGGAACCTGGGTGCGACTCATGAACTAGACAACTTTTGCTGTAGCAGTTTTCAGAAAAGACTGGTTCTTCTTTTTGAAGACCTAAAGGAGAAAATGTGGAAAAAGGCTAGATGTCCTCATGGACAAGAATTAAGGCAAAGGTATTGAGTTCTACTGCATACGGACTTTTTTCCCAAGGCAACTCATGTAAATTTTTTATATACTGTATTGTATTGTATTATGTTATATATACATATATAAATAATTTTATCATATATATGGTATACGTATAATATATGTAATATTGAACTTATATGTTTTTTTAAATACTTATGTTTTTATAAGTTTAAAATTGATTCTTTGAGATTGGAAATCAGGTAAAGTAAGTGCTTTATAGGCTGTATCACCAGCTATATAATAGAAATTGAACATTTGACTGAATTTTTGGGACCCTGCCGTTTAAGTCTTTGATGTTGATTAAGTTAAATAACCTTTCTGAGCATTAGTTTTCTTATTTGCAAAATAAAATGGTTAAAGTTGCAGATGGCAGTCAATCAAATTTTTTACTTGCTTATATAACATATATTCAGCAGATTAAATGAATTGCAAGTAAATTTATTTAAGATCCATGGCTACTGATTTGAATGTTAAGCTGAATTACAGACAACATTTTGCAAGGTAATGATGCAAGTAAGATTGGCCAAGCTTTGGTATTTCACTGTGAGTTATTTGAATGTAGTCTACATTTATTTTCATTCTTACCATTAGTAAATTACCTCAATCCACATTTGATTAATACGCCTGCTATATTTGGATAGGCAGCTTTGCAAACAATAGCAGGCAGATTCACCAAGCACAAGGCTAATATCTAGCTCTAGAAACAAGTAACTGAGCAGAACTAATGTCGTCATGTCTCATACTGACAAATGAAATAACCTCCATTTAACTTCAGGTGCACCCAGACCCATTAAGTTAACTTTTCACCCTTATTCATTACTTAAAGGCAACAAATACAATCCCAATAGAGACCTTAGATGTCAGTGACAATAACAAGGACAAAACCTTGAAATTAAGAACAAAATTTTCTACCATGATAAATTTTACTCTCATAGAAAACCAGTTATGAATATTGTAAAATATGGATTCTTATGACACTTTTTTAAAAGTTTATTTTATTTTTGAGAGGGAGAGAGACTGTAAGCAGAGGGAGGGTAGAGAGAGGGAGACAGAGGATCTGAAGCAGGCTCCATGCTGATGGCAGAAAGCTAGCTGGATGTAGGGTTCAAACTCATGAACCATGAGATAATGACCTGAGCCAAAACCAAAAGTCAGATGCTAAACTGACTGAGCCACACAGGTGCCCTGGATTCCTGTGATATTAATTCTATGTTTAAGTTATTTTATTTTATGTTATAGATATATAATAGCATATTATAGTATACAGCAAAGAGAGACAGAGACAGGGAAAGAAGATAGAAAGACAGAGAAAAGAAAGAAAAGAAAGAAAAATATCTACTATAGTATATCATAAAGCTATAGTTGGAATCAGGTGCAAAATAAGCCAGAATTTACTGTGTAACTAAGATGAGTCAACTAACCTCTCTGCCTCATAGTTTTCTAACGTCCACGTTGAGGGGAGGAACAAATGAGGGACTGTTTAGAGCTCCATGATTTCTGTATCTCCAGTTTGGGTACATCACCTCATTAATGAAGTATAATTACCCTCAGATATGTTTCATTATACTACCAAATTGTTTCAACTATTTTGAAGTAGATTTCCCTTAAAATTCTTTGTTCTCTTGTGATTCACATGAAAATCATTTTGTGGCCCATGTTGAAGTCAGGAATTGTTCCTTGAAATGAGATCAGCATATATATATTTTTTTCATTGGCACTATTTTTATAGTTATAGGAACTTTAAAAAGATCTTCTGGGGAAAAATAGACTTATTATCTCATATCTATTATTAAATGGCTTTTAAAGGCTATGAGGCAGGCCTATTATTAAATTTCAAACCAACCTAGTATCTTTAGCTGATGAGATTTAG